GTAGACGACCGATGATAGGAACTGATAACAGCTGATAACGACTGATAAGAGCACTTACCAAATGAATTTAACTCCTATGGTATTTACGATGTATTTATGATTACGACTATTATTTAGATTACGACCACTATTCAGCAAGGTTTGTAACTCGGTGGAAGATCAGGGTTACTTAATGTTTCGATATCATTTACGGCGAAGCTCATCCGACCGCCAGTAATTTAGGATTCTCAACTAATGATGTACCCGTGGAGGAAAAAAGGTCCAGTGATAACGACATCTTATAATTGTGTTATTATCACTTGGAAGAATTTGTGCGTACTACTCATTTCTTTGGTTGCCTATCAGTTAAACCTTTAATGGTTCATAATATTCAGCAACCGATTGACACTTTTAGTCGTAAGCGTAAGCGTGGACATGTGGTGCACGCATTGGCGTGCGTAGCCCAACTGGTCAAGCTAGAAAGGCAAAGACCATCCAGCTCCGCCCTGATTTTTCACATTCTGAAGTTCTGTCTGGCTTACCTGAGACTTGGCCAAATCGGTTTCTGGCTTTGTACAGGCAGGATGAGTCTGACGTTGATACTCAACATGTAGAGTGGGATTGGAGAGTCTGAAGCGATATTTGGTTACCGAGTGGGACTCTGGGAGTTTATCTGAACATCGGGAATAAGAGGCATAATGTGACTCGTTTATTTGGAAAAACGAAGTCAATTGAACTCTGGCTCGCGATGGTATTGAATAGAGACCCCGCAGGTGAATCCCTGATCATTTGAAGGCAGGTGAAACTTTTGAAACTTTTCTGTTGAAATGGTAGGGGTTGGAATTACCTTCATCAAGACCTGATTCTCAGAGGTGTCTACTGGATGTTAACTTTGCTTACCACGAAATGAAAGCAGTTATGATCGATATCTCATCGTTGTTATGTTACATTTCGATATCGATAAGCCGGTGTTTCTCATTTTCTTCCATCATCTTCTGTCAGGTGCTCAATTTATTGGGCGGTGAAACTCGTGCAACCGCTGTCCCATTCTTTTCCATCACCCTGATTTCTCCAACTTTTTGGTATAATCAATGGCCTTCCAGATTCCCATCAAATGGGGTTACGTCTTCTTGCAGTACAGCCGCGAGTACTCCTTCGCGTAGTCCGTAGCGCTTCGGTCGGTAAGTCGGCTTCTGCATCAGAATCGTTCACAGCAGAATGTTGTAATTGAAGGGTTTCCAGCCGCACCAAAAACGAAAGTTGCTGAGAAACCCGAGCCAGCAACACCGGAGTTGGCTGAGGAAATAAAGCGCTGCTACTCTAATCTGGACCTATCTTTCCAAAACACAAAGGAAGCTTTCAAGGTAGGTCTGCTTATTTGTTTACTTGTTTATTCATCTATGCGCATAGCCACGTAAACAACGGACCTAACAAAAGCACAAATAATAGGTTTCTGTCCGCGAAATGGCCCTCCTTGCAGAGACCCTATGAGAAGAGCAGCCTCATGTTGAATAGAGGCGCACCACTACGGCTATGGAAACTCGGCTCTTACAGTGATCCCACGGTGGAATAGAATGCAATGGGAATTTTCAGACAACAAGTCTCCTTCCGCGGTACAACCCTATCCAAACGCAAAAATCCTAACCCTTCATGTGTTACGACGCATCGGAAGGGGATCTCGAGCAAGGTCATCGTTAAGGGACGACAGCCAGATGGCTGCAGTGCAGTTCGGCCGCTCATACGAGTCAGGGCCCACGGATGGGTTATTGTGAGAACAGAAACCCCATGCTAATTCTTCGTTTTTGTCGGGGTCTCCGGCCCTCACTATAATCGGTACACAATTGAACCGACCACTTTCATGGAAGCGGTAAATGAGGCGTGGGCATATTTACCCAATTCTGAATGGGAGCGGCGAGATTTGTGGGGATCTAAACG